TTATCATGTTAATACTTATTAAATATTCTTTTAATTATTGTAGATCACAGACAACTTGTTCTTAATCCATAAAAACAATTCAATTATTATTTCCTTCCATAGGTTATCAATGTGTATATGTGTGTGAGCGTTTGTGTGAATGTTGTGTATTTCAGATGTATGCTTTACGTGTACGTGCGCGCATGTTCGCTCAATGAATACGTGTAGCAAACCCGTGTGTACACGCAATGCACGCATGTGAGTGGTCTCTCGTGCTGTGTTCCTTCTTTTTCGTTTGTACGTGAAGTAAATCGCAAAGTGCATAATGGCGGGAGATCGCAAAAAATGAGATTTTCTCATGAATTTTACGACGCTACGATTAAATTATTTCCTATAGAAACGTTATTATCGTCGGGTCAAGAATTAAATTGCTACCGTTCGAACAAAAACAATCTTGAATATTTTGAAAAATTAGAAATATTTCGCACGTAATTCGATATATAGGAATCTAACATCTGCTTTCGCAATTCTACATTCCGTTTTGTTTCTTTCTTGCGTTCGGTGCTGATTTTTAAAACACACGTACACTTGCATTCAGAATCATTAAACATTGCAAACGAATTTCGAGTAGCGTTCGGCGTTTGATCGGTATATTAAGTGATTAATGAAATAAACGTGACACGATGTGTTATCTGATTGAAGAAGAGAAATCGATGTTCGAGGCTTAGAAAATATTACAGCATTAGACATTTGACAATAATCAGGTATGGTTATGTTATCAAGAATTATTATTTTGAAAATGCATATGTTCTTTGATCGTTAACGACCAGACTGCGGATGTTCATGCGTCTCAAGTAAATAATATGATCAAAGTAACTTAGGTAAATTTCATTAAGAATAAATTCCAATTTCTTAAAGAATAGTAAATTACACATTGATTCTAATCGTGTATTTTAGCGAATTATCGAAAATATTATCCTGATACATGAACCAAAATTCTCTTCATAAAAATATCATCAGAAGCATAGAAAGTTATTAATAAGTAGTTAAATAAAAATAACAATTTTAAATTACCTCGAAATTATATAAAATTTCGAATAAGAGAATGGTAATTATTTATAACTCAGCGTAACACTTTCGATTTATAAACACATGATTCCGCATAAACATCCGCGATTTAATTATCTACAGTCAACTTACAAAACCTCTCTGATTACTCGTAAGTTTCGAGACATCACCGTGGTCTGAATTTTCTGTATGCAGTTAAATGGGTAGCAGTGGAAGTGAGTGTGTTGGGTGTGAGTCAAAAGAGCCGCCAATTTCTTGAGGCATCAATTTTTCCGATCGATCTCAGGGGTGAAGGTTTGCCAGTCCTGCGCCACTCGTATCGATTCACGCGCAGCGACCAGGCCGCGAAAAACCACTGTTACTTGTTTCATCAGCTGCGCAAGTTTGCGCCCTGTTCCTTTACGTAACCGCGGGCTTGGGTTTTCGACTCGCGGTCATTACAGCAGCGCCAACATTCCGATTCTTTGCTCTGAATTGCTCTCGCGCGGCTGACAACAATGTTCTTCGTTAAACGTAGAAAATAATGCAACGCGAAAATAATGACTTTCCGTTCCCCCTCTTAATAACGACAAACTTGACCCGAACGGCTCTTGAGTAAATTGTGCACCTTTATCATCGATTTATGAGGCTGATTTGTGGTCTACGTTCATTCTCGTAGCATGTCGTATGTCGATTATTGCATGATTATTATTAAATATATAAAAATGGATTTTTCTCCAAAATAATTAGAGAAATTGGATATAGTTAATATGGAATAATATTTTTGTTCAAAATACTAGATATTTTTATATTGTGTAGTATGTAAACGACATAATAGTTTACCATTTTTAACCAAATATATCGTTAAGAATCTTAGACAGATATTTTAATGCGATATAGCAAATTTTAGTATTTAAATAAGAAATAACATTGACTATACCAGTGCTTTCTATAACGCACAGTATTTCTTCCCAACAGTATAGCTATTTCAACCCCTCTATAATCGCATTACCATTCCGCTTAAGAGAGTAATTACTGAGCGAGAAAAAGCAAGCTATGAAGCGATCGTAGAAACATGCTCTACTGTTCTTTATAATCCCATTACCAGTCCCAAACCGTTTAACTATAGAGAAGGTGTACTGTGTCATTAAATCTGGTATAAAGAAACGACGATAATAATCAAATTGTACGTAAACCCTCTAATATATAACAAGCAAAATATTAACATAACAAATATTTGAAACAAATTCAACCAAAGCTTACCATTTTCAATATTTATAAACAACCATTTCAAATATATCCACTATTCCAAACGCAATACGCCACAAAAATCCTTTTACCTTATCTCAATCAATAATCAACACCCTCTAATACCAATTATTCAAAGAAGAACGAATTTTTAAATGATCCAGTGTCCATTATTCAACCACAAATCAGCCTATACCCTAATCTCGTCCAACAATCCCCGAAGCTCCGGCTCTACACGCTGTTCAAATTAACTATATCCACGCGAATCTCTCCTCTCCTCGACACTCTCCCCCACAAAACACGTAGAGCTCGGGTCGTCCCCGGGGTAAGTGTCGCCCGCGTCCGTAAGCGAAATTTTCGATCCAACGGGAAGCGCGGGCATTCCCCACGCCTCGAAGAATACACCGAATCGTGGGGCGTATGTGCGCGCGCGCTCGCTGGCAATGACAACGTGCGTGCATCCGGTGTCTCTGAAATGATTTGTGTGTGGCTGTTGTGTGTGTTCGTGTGTCGGCTCGTCTACGATGCACGTGGGTGAGGCGCGTGTGAATGCGTATCTCGGATGCGTCATGATCACACAGCAAGCGGATTAACTTAGTAATACTTGGTAATTGGTAACGGTATGCTTAAAATTAGTTGAATTTACTCGTTTAAGCTATCTAGTCCACGCGAGTGACGCGGTCGTCTCGGCGCCTCTCCTCCAGCGAACAAAACGAGACGCCCGCCGGAATAATCTTCCGGCGGAGCGGAAGTGTTCCTCGACGAGTGAACCAGTGTCCATTTTGGTTTTTAACTTCAGCTCGCGAAAGGACTTAAGTTTTTCTCTCCTTTCCTTTATCTCCTCCCTTCTACTTCTTCCCTCTCGGTGTGCACACATGCGTGGCTGCTAAATCGGAATATCGGCAGGAATATATGCGGTACGCGCGTGAATCAACGGCCGCTCGACGGGTGGAGCTGATCGTGGAAGTCTCTCGCGGCTCTGAGTCTGTCTGCTGTGTGTGTGTTTGACGTGTGCGCGTTCTTCGCGGGCACGATCGAATCGATTCGACACGCTGAACACACGACGCCGAGATAGCTCGACCTGTTCTCTGTTGCATTTCGCGGCGGGAATAATTACGCGGAGAGAGCGCTCGACAGCGCGGAGTCCGGGTGTCGGCACCGTGGAGGGTGGTTCCGAAAAGCTTTCGAAATAACGCTAACGACTATCTACTTGCCGCGATAGTGGCGAAGCGACCCGAACGCAGACTGCATGGCGATGTAGAGGTTGGTTGACGAAGGTTGGGTCCTGGTACAGGAAATTCCAGCGAAAATGAGCTGACTGTTATTTCAATCGATAGTACTTTATTGTAACCCGTGTGCCCAAGAATTTTTCATTTGGACATGGTTTTAAAGCTTGATCGCTAAATCTAGTGACTCGTCATCGGAATTTAACTAATAGACAGCTGAAAGACATTTGTTAATATGTTCGATCGATAGTACTTCTTGTTAAGTGTATAATTTGTAGGTTAGGAGTGGATAAATTTTGGTTAGCTTGCCGATAGATATTGATACCTGGTATAGGTATCAATAAAACTTTAAAGGCAACTTGCAAAGTTTTCGTTTGACAGGATTTCAGCTAAGAATTGTTAAGCGAAGACATAATTTAAAAGCTTCATTGCTCTGTCACGTGACCCGAGCATGCGCGACGCGGTCTCAGCCTCGGTCAGCCAGTCTATACCTTTCAGTTATGACTGTGGACAAGTGTTCGTGGACGTATGCTTGCAAGTTTCATCGTTTCCTGTCTTCGAACGACTAAATCGGAACATTTAAAAACCTTATATCCTCGGATCGTAAAGTTCGAGAAGGCGATTTCGTAAACGAAAATGAGAATGAAAGGAAAACGTTTTCGAGCCTGCCCTCGCCGAGCTTCTATCGAGTGGCTCGCGACGGGCTGTTCTTTTTACGGTGAGAATTTTCTTCGATGTTTCGGAAGTACCCTTTAGGAGACGACGAAGAGCCTGGCGTATCGGAATATCGGCAACGAATCCAAATATAATATTTCCTGTTTGGATTCTCGCCAAACGAGCCGACCGGTCGGCCTCAGAGGCCGGCCAGGATCGGTCTGGGATGGACGAGCGAGTCCTCTCGACGGATTAATCGATCGGCGGAACTCCTCGGCCGGGGGTTCGCGCCGTTCAAAGACGGTCGTGTAGCACGGGCGGTTATCGAGTAGAAAAAAGTCTGTCACAAAATATCGTTTATCTCTATGGATGATGATTATTAGCGCGCGCGCGTACGGGAAGGGACAGTTATATGTATGCGACAGCGGTGCGGGCGTATCTTTAAAAACACTAAAATTCGTTTCGGATGACGCACTCTCTCCTATCATCGTTCGCTACCTCTGGATCACTTCAAGATTCACGATTCTATTATATTTTATTATTATTATTATTATTTTTCTTATCTTTCTTTTGGTTATTTCCGTTTTCT